TGGACATCAACTCCCAGAATTCCTCTAGATTGATATAGGTCAGGGGTAGGCAACCTTGGCTCTTTTATGACTCGTGGACTTCAACTCCCAGAATTCCTGAGCCAGCCATGCTGAAGGGAAAGGGAGAGGTTTCCAAGCTGAGCCATGCTGGCTCAGGAATTCTGGGAGTTGAAGTCCACGAGTCATAAAAGAGCCAAGGTTGCCTACCCCTGGTATAGGTAGTCCTCAACTTACAACAGTTCATCTAATCACCGTTCAAAGTTACAACGGCACTGTAAAAAAGTGCCTTATGACCATTTTTCACACTTATGACCACTGCAGCATCCCCGTGGTCACGTGATCGAAATTCAGACGCTTGGCCACTGACTCGTATTTATGACGGTTGCAGTGTCCCAGGGACATGTGATCACCAGTTTCGACTTTCTGACAAGCCAACTCAATGGGGAAGCCTTAACAACTTAACAACCAGATTACTAACAACTGCAGTGATTTACTTAACATCTGTGGCAAGAAAATCGTAAAATGAGGCACAACTGACAACAAATGTTTCATTTAGTGACAGAAATTTTGGGCTCAGTTGTGGTCGTAAGTAGAGGACTACCTTTAGTTCATTACATATTGGCTGAGGAATTCTGGGAATTGGCATTCACCCATCTTAAAGTTTGCCAAGATTCAGAAACACTGATTTAGATTCTGCCACTCTTTTTACCACCATTTGATTCGTTTTCCAAATTATTCAGTTGCTTTAACATACTACTGCTGCTCAAAATAAGCCAAAATAATTTTTTTTTTTAAAGTCTGGAGATGGGCTACTTGTCCCAGGAAAAGGAGACTCGTTCTAATTAACAGCATGAAACAAAGAAAAGGCTGGAAACAAAAAATGAAAAATGACTTAGCAATTGCTCCTTAATGTGGAAAAGTCTGGCTTTTCAACTGAATTCAACCCTTTGTCAGCCTTCTCCCTGAACACATGAAAGCTTTAAAAAAAAAAAAAAAAAGAGGGCAGAGAGCAAGAACGAGAATCCAGGCTCTACAATCTCTATTTCTGACCCTGATACGTTTTGCAGAAAAGGACCTTGTGCATTTGCTGGAACGTGCCCAGAAACTTTTAGACGGACAAGATGACCTTCAGGGGCTTTACTATTTGATGTATTGAAGGTAAGAATGGGAAGAGGGACTCAGCTCTGTCATGCATGGGAACTTTCTGGCAGGTGTTGTGTTTGTATGTGTACTTTCCTCTTGTGAGAGCACAACCTCTGCAACACTCTTGACAAAAGAAATCCCTGGTGGGACAATACAACCAATGAGAAAATCCATCCTCCCCTGTATCTGTTCCCCTGCTTCTCCCCTCCTTGCTCTATCTACAAGACAAGAAACAGAAAAATCACCAGACCTTCTATGGCTTGAAGGACACCCATGGATGTTTGTGTGTGTGTGTGTGCAAGGAACTCCCAATAAGCAACAGGACCCCCCCCCCTCTTTAAAGTTTTGTGGTGGAATTCCATAGGTTTACCCGACTCGCCGGCTCCAAGAAACGTTTCATTGTCCAGCTCAGGGGCGAGGAAGCTTCTGTCTGTTTAGACTTCACGCCTGGAGATGGACTTTTTGGCAGGTTTCCTGTTAAAAACAATTGGGTTCGGCAAAGAAGAGGTTAGCTTGTGAAATAACACGTCCACAGGCTCTCCACATTTGACTTTACTAGGAGGGAAGGCTGGCTTCTCATTGTCTTTCTAGAAATGACTGCACAATTCACTCGCTGACTTGCACAGAGAGAGTGGCGCAGAGATCACAGCTAGCACAGCATGAGCTTGTGGCTGTTCAAACCCGAAGGAAAATTAGGCCCCTTTGAATGCTAACTCTACCCAAGAGGATTTCAGGGTTGGATCAGTTCCTCCAAAGAGTCTAGAGTCTGATGATGCTGGCTAGCCAAGAAAGTTTTCTCCTCCAGGACAGCCACCATCAACAAAGCCAACAGCGCAGAACAAAGGGAAGCCAGGGCTAAAGACAGATGAGGCATTCCTTTCCTCCATTTCCTATTGCTGCACTGACCACATTTTTCCCCCTTGGCAGTAAGAACAGAAAGAGACAATATTGGCCATGAAAAACTGGAGTACTTCAGCTACGTTCAGCCAGCCAGCTCTGTTGCTATATCAGTGAATTGATCTTTGACGAGTCCAAACTGAGCGGGCTTCTCAACTGTGCAGCACAAAAACTATCATAAAAATTGCAGCATGAAAAGAAAATGATATCTTTTCTGTTAGGTTTGGAGGAAAATTCCTTTTTGCTCTATACTCAGAAGCAGCAACAACTGCAGAAGAAGAAGAAGAAGAACGCACCATGAGTCATTTTGAGCCCATCTAGTTTTAGGAGACTTTGGTCCACCGTGACTGGATTTTCATATTAGCACAGGGGTCTTCAAAGTTGGCCCTTTTATGACTTGTGGACTTCAACTCCCAGAATTCCTCAGCCAGCGTGCCTGGCTGAGGAATTCTGGGAGTTGAAGTCCACAAGTCATAAAAGGGCCAAGTTTGAAGACCCCTGTATTAGCAAATAGGAGTGTTACCCTAGTTCAGGGATGCTCAGTCTAAAATTATCAGGGTTACATGCTGCCTCCATAATCAATTGCTGATCTTCATGTGACAATTTTTCATTTTTAATGTGACTAAAAGGGGAATCTATTGAAGCCAGGTGGCATTATCATGTTAGCTGGATTTATTTATTTATTTATTATTTTGTTAGCCTTATCAGCCAAAGAAAAGTTCAAATATATGCAAAAGAAATAAAAGATCCGCAAACCTCAGAATTGACAAGCATAGGAATAAAGAAAAAGTAGGGATAGAAAATATGTTATAAAGAAACCTCCCAGAATTTGTAGCCATATTTAATGTCAGTTAAATCAGATTTAGTTCTGTCCCTATTCACTTCCTCATCAGTTAAAGGACTGGAGGCTAAAACATATAAGTAACGGTTGCTGGAATTGGGTATGTCTAGTTTAATGAAGAGAAGGACGAGGGGGGACATGATAGCAGTCTTCCAATATCTCAGGGGCTGCCACAAAGAAGAGGGAGTCAAGCTATTTTCCAAGGCACCTGGAGGCAGGACAAGAAGCAATGGATGGAAACTAATCAAGGAGAGAAACAACCTAGAACTAAGGAGAAACTTCCTGACAGTTAGAACAATTAACCAATGGAACAACCTGCCTCCAGAAGCGGTGAATGCTCCAACACTGGAGGTTTTTAAGAACAGACTGGACAGCGATTTGTCTGAAATGATATAGGGTTTCCTGCCTGAGCAGGGGGTTGGACCAGATGACCTCCAAGGTCCCTTCCAACTTTTTATTATTATTATTATTATTATTATTATTATTATTATTATTATTATTATTATTATTATTATTATTATTATTATTATTATTATTATTATTATTATTATTATTATTACTCTGCTCTCAGCCTGAACAAAGTTATATAACCCTCAATTAGTTCCTCATCCCTTGCTGAATACTGATATGTGAATTGTTTTATGTTTTATTCCACTGCATTTGGATGAAAAAAGTTGGCACTAAACATGTGTGGACTAATAAATCAATTCACCTTTTCAGCAAAGATAAAGTTGGTTATAATATGATAACATATGGAAAAGGTGGTTGTTAGATTTCTAAAACAACCACCTGCCTAACCAGAGAATTAAGAGTAAATAAGAGCCAATCTTACAAGTTGTTGTGCTAAGGTAGAATTTAACAGATTCAGAAGCTGCAGTTACAGTTACAACTGATCACTGAAAATTTTCTTTTTTATAGTGTGTGTCTGTGTGTCTGTCTGTCTGTCTTTCTGTGTGAGAGAAGTAAAAGAAATAGCTTCAATGGAACAGTTTGCCTCCTGGAATTGTGGGAAGTCTTCAAGAAAAGACTGGACAGCCATTTGTCTGGGATGGAGACCACCGAGGTCCATTCCAGCATAGCTATGGCCACCATCTTGGTTTTTTTACTTCCTCAGCAGATACTTCTGCTTATTTGTCCAATTAATTGGAAATAAAATGTAACTTCCCTTTGCACAAAATGTGCGCAGAACAAACTTTCTAGGGATGTACAGTATCTATACTGTAAAACAAGAGTCAAATCTGATGCAATTTTAGAAACAGATGCATACCTGAGGACTGAGGAGAAGAGACGTCTTTGTTTTCTCTGTGGGTGGTTCGTGTTATGGCTTCATCCATCTCCTGCTCAGAAACCTATTATTAAATTGAAAAAAAGGATCTAAAGGTATATTCGGGAAATAGCAAAATATATTACTTCAAAGTACATGTACATTCTTTTAATATGGAAAACAGAAATCTTGAAAGTGCTGATGTAGGCTGTGTAACACAGATTTCTTTTCTTTTCTTTTCGTGATTTTGAAGTAAAGCTTCCCACTAATCACATTTTGAAATCTAATATCACATGGAGTGGCATTAGGAGCCAAAAAAACCCTCTGAACTAGAAGACAAAAATGAATCCACCAAAGAACATCTTGGCTTAGGGACCTTCAAACATGTAACAGCTCTGAGAACAATTAGTTCTGTAAACCATTTACCCATTTGATGTTATTAATTGTATGGCCTTTGTTTTTCCATTACAGTGGGATGGCTGCACCACTGGAAGACATAAAGAATGTCTCCGTATGGCTATTAAGACTAGACACTAACTTGATGGTACATGATCAAATTAAACAATGATCCTTGTTTGTTGTTATTGTCTACATGTTCTGTGAGTTGGATCTAATTAGGGCATCCATTTGAATAATGATGTACAAACTGTGGTATGTACCAGTTCTTTTATTCCTGTGCCATTTTCTAAATTTGCATAGCTGAGGGTGCAGCAAAGGTCCAAGTTTTAGCAGTACAGTATTTACATCTTTTTGCAAGTAGAAATTTAAATGTAATATGTTGGACTTTTCCTGGATATAATGCTTTTATTTTGCTTTAGCTCCCCAGCATCAAAATATGACTCCATGCAATGGCCCCAACGATCTCCCAAAAACCATCACATATCTTTTCTTATATGTGCCTCCTAAGATGCACAAAGATTGTCATCAAAACAGATGCTGCTGATGGATCTTTCTCCTTCAGCCCCTTGCCTTCTCCCTCCCCGGATCTTCTCTAGGGAGTTAGTAGGTCTGGAGCCTTGAGGGGGAAGGAGAGGAAGTAAATTCCCAGTAGATAAGCACAAGCACCTCTGCATAATATGGAACTGCGTAAAACTATAGTAGAATTGATGTATTCTTTAAAAGGAAAGACTGTGAAGAATGGCTAAAGAATCTGGAGGTATACAACCCACAGAAAAGATGATTGAGGATGGAACTTCAGACTCTGAGGCTTAGTTGTATGAGAATATGATATCACAATGCATGTACAAAAAGGGAGGAGCTTGCATCACAATGGTGCAACACTGCTTTCGTCATTTTACCCTTACTTGCAGACTCCTCTAGTCTTCAAATATCTGAAAGTTTTCAAAGAGAAGAAAATGGATAATGTTGAATTCCCCCGAAGGCAAAACCTGACCCAATAGGTTAAAATTACAAGGAAAGGATATAGGTCAAGGGGAATTTTCTGGCTCTGTGAGCTGCCAATAGAATAGACTAGCCCATGAAAGAGTGAGTTCACCTTTACTGGAAGTAACAGAATAACAGAGTTGGAAGGGACCTTGGAGGTCTTCTAGTCTAACCCCCTGCTCTGGCAAGAAACCCTGTACCATTTCCGACAAATGGTTGTCCAGTTTGTTCTTAAACACTTCCAGTATTGGAGCACCTATAACATCTGGAGGAAAGTGGTTCCACTGATTAATTGTTCTCACTGTAAGCTATACAGTCTGGATTGTTCATTATTAGAGATATTCTAATGGATTATGCGCTTAAAAGAGAGTTAGGCTAGTGGATTTCTAAGATATCTTCTAATTCTATGGAATTCTAATTGAATTTATCTGCAAATTTGTTGTTATAGTTTCCTTTTCCTTACCCAGCTATTTTTTAAAAAATGGACGTGGGACACTTTAGCCTCCAAGAAATCATCATCCGCATTTCGATTTAAAGGTGGGAACTGCAAAGGACAGGGTTGTATATGTAGAACCATTCCTTTTTGTTTGACTTTGGTGTAACTCAAAACTCAAGGCACACTCCTATAACAGAAAGGAACTGTATAGGTTCCAAAGCAAACTTAGTAGCTTAAATCAGCTTTCAGAGCCACATTTACTCAAAAAACAAAGAAAGAAAAATATAAGCTGTGGCACTGGTTTTGGAAATACTTTCAAAAAGAGAATACCAGGTAATTTGGGAACAAAAACAATTCTGTCTGATGGAATGTAGATTAGCTATTTTATATATATATAAAAAGAAGGATAGTTTGTGCCCATAAAATTGTCTATAAAATGAAATAGAAAGTGAGGGTAAGAACAGCACCCTAAATTTAATAAAGGAACAATGAAGAGATAGAATTTTATATATAGAAACTTGAACAATAACAAAATGCAAAGTAGTAAAAAGTAATCTCTAAAAAATATTGGACAAAAACATTCAAATCTTTGCTTATTAGCAGAATATACTTTGGAAATCAACCTGATATGAATTTCCTTTGAATTTTTTTTAAAGGAATGAAGAAAAGGCTAGGCACCCATTCGCATGTGTGTTTTTTAAATATGCGGCTTATATTAAAAAGCACAGGAAAATACCTATTTTTTTATGATCTTCTAAGAAAAAATATCTTTATGTTTTACTCTACAACATCAAAGGATACAAAGGACACAAATCCTTGAACAGAATGAGCCATATAAATACCTCCCCCCCCTTTGTACTGAATTCATGGGCAAACTATATGCTTTACAGCTGAATTCACACTAAATCAGAATTTTTTAAATACAAATTTTGCTGAAGCTGAACAAACCACATATGTTTTCTGCAATCTTTGGAAAATGACAGACTATAAAATGAATGTAAATGCCAGCAAATCAGTAAATAACCATAATAGGCAGGTTCATAGATTATGGTTTAGAGTTTTATGTGAACCTGGCTGTAGAAACTGTAACTTTTGACCCAGAGAAATCTTATACAGTAAGTAGGATTTTATATAAGAATATAAATATACATGTACAAATACAGAAAAGGCCCTTTGATACATATTAATGCAAGGGATAGCAATGGACTGTGGAAGTCTTAGTCCTAGTTATATGTAGAGCATATAAATTGCCTTCTTCTGCCTTAGGGGACCAGAATAAATCATAAATGAGTGTTGTAAGCTATTTATACAACAAAGAAGAGCAAAAATGTTACAAAGTATAAAACAAGGTGTAGTAGTTACTCCCTGAGATTTTACAGTGATCAGGTAGCTTAGGGTCTGAAAATATCTAATAGATTTATTTCTAGATTGTGAGGAAAAATTAAAATATATTAACCCAGGTTTTCTAGATGTCTTGGATGTCAGTTATCACAACTCCAGTCTCTGTGGGTTTTGGCCATGCTAGCAGAGTGTTCAGGTGTCTTTTTGTACTAATATACTTTTTTACTTGTAAAGCCATTGTGCAAGGCTCAGGGGGAAATGCTGTAGAGAAAAACTGAATATCTTCCATTCTGTTTCATACCTTTGGGTTAGGATGTCGGCTAACGATAAGGCTAACCGGGCCTGGTCCACATTCACTTAAAATGGCATAAGCTTCACTCAGCGCTGCGTGACGCAAACTGACCGAATCTGCTTCCAGGATCTGATCACCACGGCTAAAGAAACAGACAGACATCAACTTTAATGGTGTCATTTCACAGACAGGAAGTAGGGAAGAGGGAGACCTCCAACCACAAAAAGTTCAGACAGAAAACATTTATAGCTTGACTATAAATCCAATTTATAGTGCTCATCAACATAAAATCTGGGTGGAGAAAAGAATATATATATATATATAACAACAAAAATGAAAAAAACTGTGTACAAAAAAGGGAAAAAATATTCCAAATATCAAATAAGTTTAACGTCAACCATGAAAAATCCACCCCCGCTGGATGCTAAAAAGATGATGATGATGATGATGATGATGATGATGATGATGAT